AATGGCGGCGATGCAGTGGTGCGGTGCGATAACGCGACGGATTCTGATGACGCAGCGTACATCTGCAACATTGTCTTCGACGGCGAGGTATTCTTCGTTATCTCCGGCGTGTGCAGCACCGGCGATATCGGAGATGGATTTGTGCGGTAGAGGAGATAAGAAGACGAAGAAAGGGAAAAGATTCAAAGGAACGTACGGGAATTCGAGAGGGAAGAAGCAGAAGATGATTGAGCGAATCAAAGACAAGCTCGAGGTTCCAAGGTCTACTCCTTGGCCTCTCCCTTTCAAGCTCATCTGAAAAACAATTCTCTCTTTGTTACGGCTTTTTCCAACAAAATGTCACCTTTAGTGGTGAGTTTCCAGATTTTTAAAACTGCTTGTATACTTTCTCATAATGAATTTTTGAGTAATATCTCGTATGTGTTCATGATCTGTGTTTTTGTTTGAAATTTTTGGGGATTTTTAGGTTTTTGGATCAGAATCTCTAGGTTTTTGGTCACATTTTGGTTTTTCAGATTTTGTTCAAACCTATTGAGTCTGAAGTCTTAAGCTATATATGTGAATACTGTGAGCTGTTTGATTGGATTTTCCTTGTCTCTGTGATTAGAGATTCACTGACTCTTAACCTTGTAGATTCTTGTCTCAATAGTTGGTTGTAGAAAGATCATAGAAATGAACCACATTTTGATACCTTGGTATGAATCGGTGTAATAACACGAATGTGAATCGTGTGTTTGTTTGGATGAATCAATGGTTGAATGTACTAGGATCGCGTGATCTGGCTTGGGAGTATCATAATACGTTTGAATAACTCCGCCTTGCATATCGCACTGGATTATGGCTAAAACTCGTTTGATGTTGTGAATTATATTATACGTATCATGGTTAGAAAGTCTCATGATCTAGCTTGATGTTTTGTTGTTTGAAGATCTAGTTTAAGGATATCGTATTCAGCAGAATTGGTGACTGTGAGAGAAATGCTTACTGATCAACAAATCGGGCTTCAGAATAGTAGTTCCGATCAGTAAGCAAATTTCAGTTCGATCTGGTTCTACAAATTCGGTTTATGTTCAGATTTTTGAACCTGTAAAGAGAAGTTTTTGTTGCGTTAAAAGAAGATGAGGCTAACTATCATATCACCCAGAAGACTGACCAGTGAATAAAAAACATATGAGAATCATTTAGTGTCTGCTTCCAAATCAAAAACCCCATTAAAGTGAAAGAAACAGAAAGATCCGATGAAGCTGTGGAAACATCTTACCAAGTTTTTTCCATCAAACACCAAAACCAAAAACCCACCTAGAAGATTTACACATACAGCCTTAAAAACCATTTATATTAACGTGTTTGACAATTAGAAAAGCGTGGTCATGCTTTTTCTCCAGCTATGTGATCGCCGAGACGAAGGCGTGAAACTCAGGCCAAACATCTCCTTCATAGCTCTTCCTTGCTCCACAAACCTAACAAGCTTCGCTACAACGGCTGCGCTTTCGACCACATGGGTTATGTCCTTGGGGTTACTCCACAGCTGGTTCGCCAGCTGCAACCGCCGGCGTTTCGAGTTGACAGCGATCCCAAACTTTTCATAAAGTCTCTTCCTTTCTTCTACTGAAAACCTCTTCCCGACCAGCTTGCTTAGCATCCGTCTCTCCCTCTGAAGCGCCTTTAGACTACAATAAAACCAAACGATCAGTTAACAAAACATTACCAATTTACTGCAGATGCCAAGGCAAACGCTAATAGTACTAACCTTGAAGCTACTGTGAGGGTTTGTCCTCTTTCAAAGGCTTGGTTTCCCTGAGAGAAGCTTTCTTTCATAAAGGAGAGCCTTCTTAGCTCTACTCCAATGTAGATCGAATCCGCTTGATCTCCCGTGAAGAGCAAGAAGAAGTATGTTCTATGCACCAACGAGACATGACATGTCTGCCAAAGTTCCAGAATCTGTTCTCTCTGTCTATCGAATTCCTCTGACCAGTTCACCATTGTCCCAGACACCTCTTTGTCCATAGCGTCCACACCAACGTCCTTGCCCATTTTCCCTGAATTCTCAGGATCCGATACCTGGAACACAAAGCTTAATGTAAGAAATTGCATCATCTACTATAGGATCCAAAACCTGAACACATAGTTTGGCGTAAAAAGTTGAATATTCGATGCAAAAAAGAGAACTATATATAGCGTATTTTTCACAGTTTTTACCATCTCCTTCAGCCCTTCAACAAATGACCGAATGCTGGTGATACCTCCATCTTCTCCCACCATCGGTGTTCCAACACTGTGAGCTTCAGTGGAATCGCTTCCTCGAGAAGACATTGAATCATTCCTCAACAATTTACCAGAACCGAACTCTTCATCAGGGAATGCAATACCATGACCGTCTGGTCTTCCAGGGTAGTCCATCTCCAACGCATCAGGAGGAGTGCTTGTGCCCGGCATCGTATCTCCGCGGCTCCAACTCTTCCTCACCCTGACGCTTCTAACACTGGACGGATTCCTGTTTTGAGTAAGACCTGTTCCACCATTTGCCTCTGCACTGTGGCCCAGAAGTGTTTCTGCATCTGTCCTTTCTTCGTCGTTATTATTAATGTCTCTGGCTGATTCTTCCATCTCAATGCATTGTACTTCTTTGCAGTATTCTTCTGATTGATCTCCAGAGCGACTAGGTAACAGTTCCTCCTCCAGATCCTCGTCAGAGAGAGACATAACAGGAGCTCTTGCAGTCGACTGAGGCGTTGATGTGCCATCTGATATGAAACTAGTTCTGTCTGGATCAACAACGCCTGATGTCTCTGACACTGAACCATCCTCCCACTTGTTGGTACGGTTACGGAAATGTGGAGTTCCAGCCTTTGAAAGAGGGAGAAAAGGAACAATCGGTTAAGCTAAATATGCCATCAAAATCTAAAGATAATTGAATTATTGAATTATCTGCTGACAGAACTGAGATACCTTCGAAGACTCATCGTGTTCGACCATCCTCATGAAATCTTCAAGCCGAGATTGAGCAAGATCCCGCTGTTTAGCCATTTCTGCGAGCTGTTTCTCCATCTGTACAACATCAAACCTTAATCAGAATAAACCCAACTATCTAAAAGTCAACCAGACTCAAGCCAAAGGATCTGTGGAGACCACTTCTGGGTCTTCATTCAAGCACAGACCTTTTGTATCTGAAGATCTTTCTTTCTCAGCGCAACCCCACAATCACAGCTTGAGGTGGCAGGGGCTGGGTTTCTCAGCTCGCTCTCGAGCCTGGCTAGCTCACGCTGTAGTTGCTTCACCAAAGCCTTGTCTGACATGACAACATTGATTTGTGCCTTCGTGGTGACTTCCTTGGCACAGCAGGCAAACAGGAGAGTGTTTCTAGTCTGCTCAACATGGCTCCTTGCTGGACTCAACGTGCAGACTATAGCAGTTCTGGCATTGCCCCCCAAGCACGGCTGGAGAATGCGTGTGAGCTTGGAGTCTCTATAGTTGATGTGTCCTTGTCTTCCATTGCTGCATCATGTTGACGGTCTTTACATCAATGCACATTTAAGTTTCAGAAAGACAAAATAGAGATGCTTGTAAAACCATCTTTTGTTTTGTCAATGTTATTTATGGCATAGGCTAAAAATAGTATGGTTAAAATGTCAACCACAGTATTACTTCCACACCTTAGTTTGCGTATCACGGTTCCTAGAGTCAGCAAACTTCGATTGATATGGCAACCCTCCTTAAGTCTCGCACCAGCTGATAAGGCCTGCGATGCGCGCTCGCTCCCCGCCAAATCAATGAAATTCTGTACATAAGAAACGATGAGCATGAATAAGATGATTGGCAAAGCTTAGAAGCTTAAGACCCACAGTAGATAAAGCAGATAAGTGCATACCACACTCGCCATGAGAGTGGTTGAGTTTTCTTTGCCTAAGAACTCACGAGCAGAGCTTTCGACTGTCTACAAAGAATTAACAATTTAGATAAGGCACTACACAAAAAGAGGGGAATATTTGTGCCTTAGATCCAGAGATAGAAACGAGTCTTACTAGTTTAATAATTTGATGAGATCTTGAACTTCTCTCATTCAATGAGGTTTCACCAATCTTCCGCTGCGCTGCAATAGTACAACAAGAAGTACAGAAACGTAACAAGAGAATTTTTTTTCAGAAAATATTTAATACAAAATAACCTGAATTGAAAATCATGAGCAAACTACATAACTATCAGCTGATTTGTAGTAATCGAAAATTAGTGAACTTTCTGAGGTTATTACCTTCACAAACGGAAATAAGATCTTTCAAATGGTTCCAGTCTCTCAGGATTTCCTCTGTTGCTTTTTCAACAACGGCCCCTTTCTAAATGAAAGAAACAAAACACGAAACAAGAGTCACAAAAGAATACTAATAAAAGAGTTCGCGGTAAGGAGAAAACAACAATCTTTTACCTCGGGGTCATCTCGTAGCCTTAGTGGTGTACTATCCGGGCTTAGAAGATCTCGGATAGCCTCGTTGTAGATCTCTATAGCGGAAAATTTCACAACAAACGCCCTATCTTCATGCTGCAGCGTCCAGTGCATTTAGTGAAAACGAAGAATACGTATCAAAGTAGTAAGGGGAAAAATTCAGACTTAAATTTTTAGCAGTACCTTAAATATGTAGTCAAATATGTCAGCCACAGCAAACTCAGTTATACCAGTCATGGTGTACGTCTTTCCACTGCTTGTCTGACCATACGCAAAAATGCTAGCTGTGAAACACCAGATATTGAAACATTTAGCCTTTCATGTCATCAATGTCTACATGATCACAACAATCAAGGAAGCTTACAGTTGATTCCTTTGACAACCGAGAGAGCAACTTCCTTGGGCCCATCCTCGTAGACCTGTCTGGTTGGACACTCACCTCGGTACACTCTATCTGTCAGCAAAATGTCAAAAGAGAAATGGGCAACTAGTTAAGCTTGGAATTCAAGGCCAGGTGAAATTAAGTTTATAGAAGAGGTTGGGACAGTGCAAAATATCAACCTGTCAACGAAAGATCAACTATATTTACTAAGCCAGATGGTTTTTGATGAAAGGTGAGATTTTTATGATCAGGAGCACTAGTTACTTGCTTGATGTTTCAAAGAAACCAAAAAACAGAAGTTGACTTAGGTATATTGAAGATATATTAACTTAAAACACCTCTGCAGTACTTACCAAATGAATATGCAGAAGGAAAAGTTGAGCCTTCACGCAATGTGTTTCTATACAATACAGTGGTGTCATTGATGCATTCCCAATCTGCAGCTTCATTAGCCAAGATCTCTTTCTCGTTCAGAGGTCTCAGTCTCACCAGGACCATTATCTTCTCTTCCCGGGCTACATGCACCTGTGTCTTCTCCATTTTCTTCAGCTCTTCTCCAGCAATCGCTCCCATAGCTCACTGGTCAGATCACAATGATGAAGAATGAGCTCCTTAAGCAGAGGCTGGTTTTCCTGAAACAGTTCCGACGTTAAGATTGATGTATTGGCACATTTGATTCATGTTAATACTGCTGCTGAAAGCTTTCAAGAACAAAATAGCTCTGAGAAGAGACAAAAAGAGTCCCTATTTTCCAACTAACACAACCATAAACAAATGATAAAGCTCAGACATTTCATCTTACTAAACCAAAAACAAGAAGCATGCCTAGAAAATCCCTTAGTGTTCCCCAAAAAAAGAGAAAAATCAGACAGTTCAAAAAAGCAAACTCAAAGTATCAGAGGATGTCGATTACACTGCAATTAGACACCAGAGTTCCAAATTTATTCAGCACACTACTTAAACAGAAAGAAAAAGAAACCGAAAGAGAGATGACTTATTACTTATTAATATGAATGTTGTTATTACAATAACAAAACAGAGTTTACTTAGAAGGTTATCAACCTTTAACCGAAGAACAAACAAAAAAGATTATCGACTTTTTTTCTGTAGTGGTCACCCACTATGCTTGAAAACGAAGTCATGCATCATCAATTCAAAGTTTGTTTAATGGAAAAATAAGTAATAATTGGCCCCACAAACCACCCTTCTCTCTTTGAAATGCATATATTTTAGTGGAAAAGAAAGAACACAAAAAGGAAAAGTTATCATAATATTCCAAGTAGTTTGATTGTAATCTTACACACGCAAAAGCAGACATAAAAAAAGAAAGAATGCATATTTTAATTGTTGTATTCACAAGTCTTCCTCACTAGTGCACTTGAGTTTCTCTCTTTTAACAATCCAAAATGTATGTAACTAAGGAAAACAAAAGCATCAGTTAACATTATAAAAATCCTTGATAACTTAAAATACTAATGATTTGACTGGAATGTAAAATATCTATAAAAAAAGGCATCTCCATCTTGAAACTAAACCCTAAATCTTATATACTTGGTCATATATGTGTTTAAACAAGTAGTATATATTATGAGTCTGGATGTTGAATACAGAGGCTTTACCTTGTTGTAAGTTGTCTTCTTCCCCAAAAGTAGTGATATCGACTCTACAGAAGCTCTAATCTGAAACAAACCACCACAGATTTCACCATCAATCGGGAACTGATTTCGAGGGTATAATCGGAAACTTCATAACCCCCCAGCCCAGATATAGTTTCTGAATCTATCAAGCAAACCCAGATAAATATGCCGAAATAATATCCACAAACGTTACCAAAAATAGCAATCTCGATCTCAAAAAAAAATAGGGGAAAAGTAATTAAAAACGGAGATGATAATTTCCTAACTCTTAAAAGCTGGGTAATCAATATCTCAAAGAAAATTCCTAACTCTTGAAGGAAACGGAACTTTTTCCCCCAAAATAAACTTAGAAATAGAAGGAGAAATTTAGGTTTCGATCTATGAAACAGTGGACTCGGAAACTCAGTGGCGAACTCAGAATCTCTAACACT